AACACATCGTTGTCGAAAGACACCTTATCCGAGAGTCCATTAACTAGGTTTCATTACGCTCGGCTGAATTTGCATTCGCTTCGCTCAGCAAACAAATAACAAACGATTTCACGCTCGACGTACGCACGTAAGCCACCGTTGCTCTTTGACATTTGTTAATTTTGATTATTTCTATAAAAGTATTTAAATTTTTAATTAGATACACCAATGATAAAGTGAATGAATGAATGAATACGAAGAGGAGAGACAGAAATACAATATATAGAAAAATGAAAGAATAACGAACGAGAGAACCAGCGAGTAAGAGAAAATGAAAGAACAAGAAAGAAAAAAAAAAAGGAAGAATGAGTTCGTGCTTTCAACGCTTACAACGAGCTTTCAAAAAGTAACTTTCTACTGGATGTTCAGATCACTCGTCGAGCTATCTCTCTCTCTCTCTCTCTCTCCCTCTTCTCTTTCTTTCTATCTTTATTTTTCATTGCGATCCAGGCAGGATTTTTCCTACGAACGACACAAGCATAGTCCTTTGACCCGCTTCGATTTTCAACAATGTGATCAAAGCTAGGAGTTTTTTGGCGAATAGAACCAACCAGATGAAGCTTACCTTCCTGTCGAAACGCGTGACTGAACTTGCCTATAGAAGAAGAGAATGGCTGAGAGGGTATATGGGTGAAAAAGGGGTTGCGCCAGAGTTGTATCAGGATTTCGGAGGATGAGAGAACGAACGAAAATGGGAAAGAGAGTGAATTCTTCCACTTGCTACCAACGATCGTACAAGTTGTTAGACTGCGACGGAGTTGTTGGTTTCACGCATCGTCGTCCACTCGTCAATTTTCACCCTACCTCCCTCCCACCCTCACTCTCTCTCTCTCTCTTTTTTTTGGAAAAAATCTTTTGTTACGCAATACAAACCAACTGTGATTAACGCATAGTCATTCTTTCCAGTATTTCTCGCTTACAAAAGCTACGGAATTTGATTCGACTTTCATTCGAACCGAACGAGATTAGTATCGTTTTGTGTAACACGATACAGAGACACGAGATCTACTCTGGAAAATTTTACAAAGATTAAACGAACAAACAATATCTTTGTTTTCTTATAATTTAGAGTTACATGTACATACGTACGACTTATCGGTAATATTGTATTTTTTATCTATCTATATGAATTCGAAGAAAAATCGCGTTTAATTTCTATCAATAAAAATCAATCGTTAACTTATGATCCATTTATACAAATTTATTTTTTAGTTAATATTAAATACGCTAATAATATTTTCTCTCGTTTATTATATTATTATCTATATCTCAATTTCATTTCTATATAAGAAATTCGATCGAAGTTTTGACGATTTGGAGAAAACTTGCAAGTAGAAAAGCTGATCATCGTGTCATTTGCGGGCGATCGGATAATAGACACACGCGTGTGAGAACGTGCTAATTCCAGACTCGAAAGCACTCGTCGAAGATTAGAGGAAAGCTTTTCGTTTACTCGCTCGGATCAAAAGCGAAACGTTGCGAATTTTGTGGTGTTGGACCTCCACTGAAACTCCTGTGTACCACTTACTCTATCTCTATCTCTCTCTCTCTCTCTCTCTCTATCTATCTATCTCTATCTTTCTCCCTCTGTCTCTCTATCTATCTATTTATCTCTACCTCTGTCTATCTCTCTCCAACGTACACCTTGTCGATCTTCCGGTTCTAGTTCTCTTAGAGTATGTAACCACTGCTGCAGTTACCACGTAATTTTGGTAGCGGCCAACCAGAACGCATTAGACCATCGTGCATACTTTCCTCTCTCTCTCTCTCTCTCACTCCTTCATCTATTTCTCCATCTCGTAACATACTCTTACAATTATATTCGAATTGACTCCGATGCAACCCTTGCGATCTCGCAGAGCAATTATTTCGACACGTGCAAGTCAAACTCGTAACAACGAGACACAAGTTCGCCGTACTTGGTTAACATTGCTGCCACTTAGTCGTTGTTAAATGTTCCGTTACAAAAGCCACACAATCACTTTGCTTGTCTTTTACCCCCATTTCTCCTTTCTCTATATTCTGACTAAATAAAATCTACGATTTAAATGATTAAAGCATCCGACATGGTCATTTATATATTTCTTTTCCTTTTTTTTACCTTAAAGAATCTCATCAACGTTTTTCTATGGTTATCGAATTCTTTCTAAAATAATCCTTGACAAACCCGATTAGTATCGCTTGAACGATCGCCAACTAACATTCATGGATAATTTTGTAAATTATTCGAGCAGAAAAAAAGCTTTTCAAAAAGATTATTATTATTCTCGAGCATATTACTCTCGTAATTATAAAACGTTACTAACTACTGTACAAGTTAGATATCTATAAATTATCGATATGAATTTAGCTCGTGAAAATTTTACATCTCTTTCTTTCTACATTGAATCGTTTCCTTTTGATAAAATCTACAATTTTATCCTCCTCCGTTTTTCGATTATTATTAATAACGATGAAATAATAATCCGAGCATGCAATCATGGAGTTTAGAAGTAATTAAAATAATACAAAATATTGTTAATTACAAATAAATGAAAATTAACTTGGAAAAGTGTCGATGAATTTTTATCCTATTTCTTTTTCTTCTAATTTTTTTTTTCCTTTTCTAAGTTTTTACACGTACCATGAATTTAATAAAAGCTCGCTTTAATTATATCCTGTTTCTCTCCTTTCTGTCTCGTCTCTATCCGCTTTGATAGTATGTAAGTGTTTTTCTCTAGTATAAACGAGCTTGACGTCTTCTGTAATTACCTTGGATGCAGTGCATGAATTTATTCTTCCTCGGTACCCGATGAATTCACTGAGGATTACGGAAAGATAAATATTCAGTTATGCATAACAGGCAGAACAGGATGAAGCCCACGGTACCACCAACGATTTCCACTCTGTCGAGATTATTTTTCGTGGAAAAACTTGTCATTCTTAACGGTTGTGCGCATTTCTCAAACAGGCGCGAATTTAATCGAACAACTTACATGATTTAACGAGTTATGACGAATTTCGAATAACATTTGAACAAAAAAATACAATTTTCAATCACGTTGAAAGAGTAAAATGTTTATTTTAACAAGAACAAGAAAATATTTCGACGCTTATACAATCAGTGTCGACAAAATATATATATGTCTATGCTTTCGTTTATTTTTTTATCGATCACGAAATGCGAGATTTTCCCCGTGAAAAATTTCGCTGACTTTCTGGCTTTCTCAATTCAAAAACTGCCACGTCAAGAATAGAAAGAAAGAGAAAAATAAAGGAATACAGATATCGAAAATCATTTATTTTACGTATCGGCTGGAAATGTAAAATAAAAGGAAAGAATGATCGGACGTTCGATGACCTATTGAAGTAGACCAGGTTACGATCCAATTAATCTGAGAACATTTAAATAACACACATATATCTATATTTTAGTATGTATATTCACATAGATCCAATATACACAACATACATGGGTTTCCGTGCTTGCATATCTCCAACCGAGTTCACATATTTATTCTCACGAATCGTTACCCGTTAAATGCGAGTTTTGCGCGTAATTCAACGTAGCATGTTATGTAAAATATATATATATACGAAATAAATACAGAGAGAGCGAGGAAGGTGATGTTTAATGATTTTAGTAGATGAGAGTGAAATTTTTGAACAAAATTACCGGCCGCACGATGTCACGTCATAGACCACCGGAAAGCTTGTCACGCCTCTCAATGTTCATCCGTACGGCATGTAAATCATATTGCGCGTGATGTGCAACTGCAAGTAAGGCACGATGAAAGAAAATCAATGCACCGGGGTGTCCTTGTAGATTTTATAATATATGTATGTCAAAAGAAGGAAGAGAGATTAGAAGAAGAAAGAATAATTATTAGATATCGAAAGAATTAAAACAATTAATATGTTTGTAGAAAATAAAGGGATTTATTTCTCGATAAGAGAGTTATTTTATCCTATTGAAGTAAAAAATAAATTGTTCATCTTTGAAAAAGAAAAATCAAAATACATAATAATTCACAATGTCCCAAAGACTTGTCGATAACCCTCGTTTGAAAAATTCAATCAACTTGTCGATAGCTCGTCCGGAAAATTCAATTGATTCCGAAGGAACGAATGTTTCATTTTGCATATCCAAAGTCTTTTCCAGAAATCGACATTTCTTTTCGGATGAAAAAGTTAATCGAAAAGGTGAAATATGTTTCGTTTATCGAATAAGAATATTCTTTAAGATCTTATACGCGAATAGGACTGTGAAATATATTCTTTGATTTTCGCGGGATTATATTGAAAACGTTATTATATACTACGGAATATTCCTTTTAGTAAAAAATTTCTAACAAAGCTTTGATTTCCTAGTCGCAATATATGTATTTATATCAAATCGGAATGAATGGAACAGTTATATCTGTAAAACGAACAACGCAATCGAATACATTCATCAAAGCAAGAATATACCGAAAGCCAGAAGATTATTACATTATTGCTACGATAGCTGTAATTTCTGTTCCCTTCGCCTACGGCAGCACAATAATTACAGATTGCAGTTTCCCGATTGATGAGAAATCGGTCGAAACGTATTAACGTGGCTCCGTGAGGTAATTAACGATTTTCTACGGCTTTTAAATCTACTCACATCGTCAAATTGTTGTTTCTGTCCTATGATCTTAACAATCAAAAAATTCCATTAAAAGTATTCATACTTTTTTTTATACAAATTATATGAAGAGAAATTGATAATAACTCTCTTAAGAGAGTTACGTGAATACGGATTAATATATTTAATTTATGTATATTCGAATCTATCTCAAATTTTGAATTATTTGTCTTTTTATTTTTTTTAATAAAATAAAAAAATTAACGATGTTAAATATTTTCGTCGATGCATATTTAATAATCGTATGAATGTTAAAATTGTACTTTTAATGTTAGCACTCGACGGTGATCTAAAGGATCGATATTTGTTTCAGGAGAGCATCCAGCAGCTATGCAACACGGTAACACAGCTGCGGGTTCACCAACGTCGAAGACCGTTCTCCTCTTGCTCGCATTTTTCTTAGGCAGACTAAGATAATGTGCGGGCGCATAAACTTAGACAAAAGTCGGACGAAGGCCTGAAGAAAATAAAACGGAATCATTGGACTCGATCTTTCGTTTCTTCTGCGAAACAAACGATTTTCAAAAATTTGTTAGGCGCGCGAATTACGAACGATCTACTATTCAATTCGCACCAAAAAATTCGCCCGAATTATGGAACACTACGAAGAGCTTTATGAAAAAATAGAACTGGAAAGAAGAGGCTTTTATCAATTTTGAGAGGACATAAAAATGATGCGAAGAATAAAACGATCGAGTCGACTCGATATCTATCGACGGATCAACAAACAGAGAAAAAGAAAAAGTAGTGAAGGTTGGCTAGAAAATATGAGACTACCAAGTGTGCCGGTTTATCTTTAATCGATTATCGTCAATCGAGGAGGTCAAAGTTTAAAGAGAAAAGGGAAAAAAAGGGAAGAGAAGAGAAGAGAAGAGAAGAGTTTATTCGATGAAATCGCGATGGGACTCTCCGTGGGACGTAGTTTCTCAACAATAAACGCAATTTATATTTGCGCGCGTTCCCTTCTCGTCCACTAAACGACGAACTCATAAATTATTTCTCCGCGAATCCGGATTTTAATTTCGTCGGCGATGAATTGCGTACGCGCTCGTTTGCGTATGTTGTGAGATATTATATATATACGCAATATTCTCATACGTGAAAAAATACAGGAATGTAAAAACACAGACACGCACACGCATATACACCAAATAGAAAGATACGTAGAAGCAAAGAGAAATACGTTGTGAGGACGTGGAGATCGATCAAAAGAAAACACACGTTATATTATAATGATGGCTAACGGGTCCTCCGTTATCGTAAGAGAGAACTCTACGCAAAACTATAAATCAGAAAAGTGCATAATATAGTATCGCATGCGCAAACTCATAAATCAGATTAAACCGTGCATGTAGTCCACCACGCGAGTAAGAAGGAAACGTTTGTTACGTAGGGATTATCGATTCCTTGCTCTACTTGAAAATCGGAACGTTTTTCTCCTTCTTCCATTGTTTTCTTTTCTTTTCTTTTCTTTTCATTTTCCTTTATTTTCTTCCCATCTTCATTTTTCTTACCTTCTCTATCTTCTTTCCATGCTTTAAGAAACGTTCTCTTTTCACACGGAGAATTCGGTAAGATCGAACGATGACGAGGACGATTACGTTTTCCTTCCAAATTTAGAGAAAAAGATATAGAGGAAGAAGAAGAAGAAGAATAAGAGGAAGAAAATATACGATCGCGCAAGTTTGTAAAAAAGATATCTTGAAAAATCTATTAGAAGACGAAATTCCTGGCTTGATAAAGTGAACTAACCTTTTTGTTCCTCTTTATTTGTGAAAAACACAACGTGTTCTATGTAAAGGCATCGACGTTGTGAATTCAGTTCGTCTCGAATGAACGAACGTTCGTGTTTCGAATGATCCAGGAAGGAAAAATAAAATATAAATAAAGTCGCATGAAAGAGAAGAAAATAGGAAAAAGGGTTAGGCGACGTAGATATATCGATGTAAGGGCATGATATTTTTATTACGGATGAAAATTCTAAATGTGCGAGAAAACTTTCGAAATTTTAATGCGACCGAACTGAATCGCGAATCGTTTCGAGGAAGAAAATTGGAACGCGACGGTTGTCAATAAATTTATAAGCATTTCGATATTGGAGAGTCGTACTCGTATATTTTCTGCGTGGTAAGTACGTATATTTATGTGTATATGTGTGTATATATATATATATATATATATACGTACATACATAAAACCCGATGGATTCCACCTGCATATTTTCTTCTTGCACAACCACAATTTGATCCTGATGTTGGGTTCACGAAAGAAATGGCGATATAAACTCTGACATGGAGCGGTTTAAAATGATTTTCTGTTGGCGTACATCTGCGCAGTTCCGTGCTGAAACGAATAACGAAAACGGAAAATAAATCTTTTCCGAAGATGTTTGTCGTTTGATATCTTCTGTTAGAAGAAACTAACTTACCGTAGTTACATCGGTTCGGAAGAAAAATCAATTGTATCTTTTTTTTGTGCGCACGTATCAATGTTGACCCAGTTATAAGGAACACATCTTACCCTTTTTCTCAAATACAGATATCAAATTTTTATTGATAATACAAAAAATAAATATACAATGATATCAAAGTTATCTTTACCGAAATCATATTATATCTTTTTTTTTCTATAAGTTAAAATATTTATTATACTCTCTCTCTTTGATATAAATGGAATATTCAGATACGATTAAAATAGTGATACATGGAATTGTGAAAATTGTAAAAGATTATAAATACCCGGAAAGAATCATTGAAAATTATCGGAGTGCTTTTCGCGCTATTCGAGAAGCATTTCTTCCAAGGGAAAAAGTTTTTTATCCATTATCGTTTTCTTTCAGAGAAGCGGAAAAAGTATTCGAACTTTCGATTAATTTTCTCCAAGAATATGATTAACGTTCTTTCGAACTGCTTTAAAGTACGCTAAGTAATAAATCTAGTTTCACTTGGGATATCTCGGCCATATCCTCGTAACGAAAATATGTGAGGAAAAATCATTTTCTCGCGTTTGATGGAAAACGATAAATATTTGAGTGTTTCACATTAAAATCCTATAACTTGTTTATTACAAACATAGGATACATTTTTTTTTTACACATAAAAAGAATGAAGCTTTCATTTGCCACTTATGAAATTAATTAGACAGTTCCATTTCGAAATATAACCAATACTGTCTATTGCATATCTTAAAAAACAAATATAATTACTTATAACTATCGAAAAAATGGATACGAATCTAGAGAACATCGTATACATCTACGTTACATATATATCACTTATTATCGTAACAAATCTCTTTATTCCATTCAACTTTATTCCAAATTTTAAAAAATTCAAGCATAAGGGATTCGAAATATTCCGAGCTTTATGAAATATCTCGAATGATTTCACGATAGCTATTCGTCGATTTATACTGAAACGATGATATTTCCTTTTAAACAAGACTGAATTTCGAAAGAAAGTGATCAAGAATTTTCAATCACAATTTCTCGAGAATTTCCTCTTTAATGAATATATCTTCGTGAACGATTCTGTTACCCTTACTGGACATGCGTATTAAATATCGAATAAAGAGAAAATATAAAATAAAAAAAAAAACAAAAAAAGGAAGAAAAGATCATATCGAAAAATACGACACGAATAAGATTTCGCTATTACTTATCGTTACGACTAATTAGTCTTTCGAGAAATTACGCGAATAAAATTATGTTTAAGAAACGAAAATCTTTCGCCGCTAGACGTACTTTTTACGATTTCGTATTTTAATAAAAGGAACACGATGGCCGAACAAACTCGTTAATTAAGTTTACGCTCGTAAAGCAAAAACTATCGTCTCCACGTCGGAACCAAAAACATAGAAATTTTAAACGATGACTGGCTAGAATATTTTTAACGAGTCATATTCTTGACTTAAACGTATGATACGAACAATTCGGAGAAAATCCAAGTTCAAGGTTCGAACGTTAAAAACTAACTAAAGGAACAAAACAAAAAAGAACAAAAAAGAAAGGGAGAAAGAGAGAGAAAATTAATTTTCTCGTCGGTGCTTTTACATTTTTTTGGAAATGGAAAACGTATATTCCCGTCCCGTTATCGGTTAACCATCGTTTTTGTGGATTGAACGATAAAAAGGAAACGGCACTTCTCTGTTGCTTGATCCTTGAAAATTTTAATCGTATGTTTCAACGCAAACCAGAACTGTATGTTACATTTGCTTGATCGAATGAAAGACTGCGTTTATCAGGGAGAATGAGAGGGAGAAAATGAAATGAAAAAAAATATCCGCGTCCTCTCCACACTGACCATAGAGAGAGAAAGAATATAAATGAATGTATGAAAGAGAGAAAGTGAACGAGTGAACGATTCGAGATAAACAAAAAATGTTAAGTGTAAACTGAGTGTGTCAAAAAGTATAGGCTAAGAATACAAAAAATAAAAAGAAAAAAAAAAAAGAAAGAAAGAAATAAAATAAACATAACGAACAAAGAAAACGACGACAAACGAAGATATCGACGTTGGAGTAGGTAGAATACAATTATCCCTTCAGCAAAATACTTTCTACTACGGTATAAGTGTTAAACGAAATTAACGAAGAAATATGAAAAAATATTAAAAAAAAAAAAAAAAATATATGAAAAAAAAAAACAGAAAAAAAGAACAGGTAAAACAGTAGGAAAGTAATATCGTAACCCAAAGAAAAAACAAACAAACTTATGTCTAGTCTAACTCTCGTATGATTTACACCATGAATAATAACCCAACTGTGTTCCTCCTACCACAACTTTAACATCTTCTTTTCACGCGATTCTCAACGTATTATTGTACAAAAATGTTTTACTCTTGTAAATAAATTATCCGTATGAAGATGTATAGAGCGGAAAGATTTTTTTACTCCAACCTGCTGATACGAGAAAATTTCATCTAAGTAATTTCTTTCATCTCCCCTTTTTCTCAACAATTATGGAATCGAAAAAAGAACGCACGAAAAGAAAAAACATTAATACATAAATAATAAATTGATAATAACAATTATAGACGAATGTAAAATCGTCGAACGTTGAATTCCCTTAAAATTGGAAATATCATCAGTCAAACTCTTATATTGAAAATCAATTATTCATATTTATTATCCATCCTTAAGCTTATCCACCCTCCCTCTCTTTAGATTTCAAGTTCATTGAGATCTGCATTTGCTGTAAACATCTCTACTCTCCATCTCTCTTTCTCTCTCAAGAGACAGATTCATCATTTTAGCTGGACCATCGTTGGCATTGTTAGACATCGAAGGGATTATCAAAGTCGGCAAGCATATTCGAACCCTTGTTGCTCCATACTCGAAAGTACCAATCACGGACTATTCTAAATATGTACCTTCCAAGTCGCATCTTAATTCCCTTTACCTTAACTGTTTGATGGAGTATAGCAATCCTTCGATGTATCCTCCTGGCTCTCCCCTTCACTCACGTAATTTCAAACGTCTACTCCTAACCACTGAAAGATATTTTCATTCAATAGAGGTTTGGTCCCTTTAGGGACGATATGCGATATCAGAGAAATGCTAGATGCATTTGCATGATATAGTGTCAAGTAAGTACTTAAGTAGTATGTATATATACTTCCTATGTAATATAGTAGCGAACTGTATATTTGTAAGGAATACAGACGTCTTTACCTAAATTCACACAACATTTAACTCGGAATAGAAACTAGAACGTTGCTTTAGTTGGCGAGGAAAAAGATCGATGATGGCCTCGAGAATGACGATGACGATGACTACGACGACCTCGCTGCTGCTCTTTTCAAATCTTTCTTACTGACTGCGAGAAATATTTCAAAAAAGAAAAACAACTACAGTATGATATGAAAACAAGCAGCTATTTTTAATCGTTTAAATAAAAAAGAAAGTTTTCTTTATAAACATCCAGGAAGAAAAAAAGAAACATATATATTTATACGATCTATGAACAAAGTAATCCCTTTTTTGCTTTCTTTTCTTGTTTCTTTTTTTTTTTAAGTTTTTAACTGTCAGAAAGAGAGATCTTTTGTCGGAGAGTTTCCGGTTGCTATGGACAACGTATAGAACGTATTTACTTTTCCATACGAGAAAGTTCTTTCCGTATGTTGTCATTGGTAAGCTGAGGAAAATATGACGTACGGAAAATAAATTTCTCAAATAGAAAAGAAATGGGAAAATTATTTCAAAAATAATTTATCATTTAATACTCTAAGTAAAGAGGACTCGTTGAGAAACTCTTTCCTTCAGTGTAATTCATTAAATCGTTGATACCTATTTATATCATCCCTTAAACTTTGTATGCAAATAATTCGCAATTAGTACACAGCAGATTTTTTTATTTCTTAAAAATCTGAAATAATGTACCAAAATTTACAAAATGGTATTATAAAATATGTTTTGTTGATAAGTTCAGTATTCTGATTATAAAAGATAAACATTAATTTTCGATCTTTACAGTATTTGTTATAAATTGCATACAAGATATTATATTCATTTCAACCGTGAAGAAACTGTTGCTGTACTTGTCATTCTTTTAAAGTCTCTCAGTTTAAATTATTCGCGTCACGCGTAAAAAGCAAAATATCACTTTCCAGTCTAGACACGCATATAATTATTACGATTATATCCACGAACAATATGATGCTTTTTTCAAAGCCAAGGATCTTTTTTTCTCCCTCCAAAAAAAAGGAAACATTTCAAGAAATACGTGTTCGCGTTCGTATCTCATCAAAAAGAAATAGAAAAGAATTAAAAAAGAAAAAGAAGAAAAGAGTAAGAAATACTTTTGACATGATAAAAGGAAAAAAAAAGAAGATATTCTCGTACATTTCGACGTAACGCAAAAAAAAAACTCGCGTTACACAAATATCTGGGGCAACTTTTAAAAAATCAAAGCATACCGTCGCGAAACGCGCATCGATACAAAACGACATTCGACACGATGTCTCGTTAAAATTTAAAAAGAGAATACTCGTATTACAGGCCGTCGCGTTACGACGTATACTTGCTATGAGAATACAGGTACAAACAAACAAAACAAAAAAATAGGAAAAAAGATGGAAGAAAAAAACAGAATTGTAGGTAGATAGATAGATGGATGGATGGATGGATAGAAGAACATTCACCCTCTCATCTTCTTCCTCCCCCTTCTCCACTCTTCTCATTCTCACTCTCTCTCTCTCTCTCATCTTCTTTTTTTTATGTATGTATAAAACAACGCAATACAGCCTCGCTATAAAAAGTTCTACCGTACGATGAGCCTCTCTCTAATTATCTCGGCCGCGATGAATGTAAATTCAACTTTTTTTTTTT